CGCAACACTCATAATAAATTGAATTATGACAATGGAAATAATATATATAAGTTGATATGAGTTATACTACAATCTAAAACCTAATATACTACAATTACAAGTACTTGGTTATGTATCCGACTCAAAAGTTATAGACCCACACATTAAGAAGCTTGATGAATGCTCAAGAAAAACAGTGCACTTTGGGACGAGACCAGGACCAAAGCATATCGACTCTACAACTTGGTAAACAAAAGAATTATAGTATCACGAGAAGTAATTTTTGATGAAATATTCAAGGTGGAATTATGAAGAAAAAGGTGATTCAACAATGAAGCTCAAAGTGTTTTAGGTACATGCATCTACTCTTGTTAACATAGAATACAGACCAGTAACTTGCACACCAAATCAAGATGACATCAAACTATATGGAAACAATGAAGAGAGTGAAGATAGTGGAGTAATTACTAAACAATATCCTGAAACCAATGAAGATGTCGAGTATCACAAGACTCAAATGTTGCAAAGATCAAATCTGTTAGCTTAAACACCATGAAGATACGACGACTACGAGATGATTTTTATGTTGAAAGTCTCAAACTCTTGATTTCATTTAATGAAGATGAGACCTCAAATTACAAAGAAGCCAAAGATAATACAATGTGGATGAAAGCAATGAAAGAAGAAACCCACTCAATTGAAAAAATAGGACATAGAAATTGGCTCCAAAACCGAATCATACAATCATTATTGGATTAAAGTGGGTGTTCAAAGTCAAGAGAGATGCAGATGGTTCGATAAGTAATTGCAAGGCAATGATTGTTGCAAAAGATTATCTCCAACAACCACTCATTGACTTTGAAGAAGTATTCGCGTAGTATGCATAAATCGAGACAGTTCGAACACTTATTGAACTCGAGACTTTAAAAGGATTTGAATAACATCACCTTGATGTACAATCCACATATTTATTCAATGAGCTGTAAGAAAAAGTATACGTCCACCAACCAAAATGATTTCAAAAAGGAAGTACAAAATCAATATACAAGCTTGTAAAAGCTTTATATGGCTTAAGACGAGCTCGCACATAGAATATGAAGCTCGAAGGGATACTAAAGAATATGAAATTTCAAAGGTGCATTCATGAACAAGCCATGTATCGAAGAAGTATTGCGAATGACTTGATCATCGTTGGAGTATTTGTTAAAAATCTTGTCATCACTAGATCAAGAACCAAAATAATGTTAAAATTCAAACAAGAAATGCTTATAAAGATTCATATGACTGATTTAGGCATGCAAACTTATTACCTAAGGATTGAGGTGTGTCAAAAGAAGAATGAAATTTTATTACACAAGAAGGTTATGCAAAAAAAGTACTGAAAAATGTAGGCATGTTTAATTGTAATCCCACATCAATTCCTATGGATTCAAATGTGAAGTTTTTGGATGTGGAAGGGGAGGAACAAACCAAAGTTAAAGAGTAGCGAAGCTTAGTTGGACGGAAAAGGTATTTATTGCAAATGAGACTGGATCTTGCATATGTGGTTATCATTAGAAGTTGGTACAGGCATAATCCAAAAAAATGCTTATGGCAGCTATAAAAAAAATTCTAAGGAATGTTAAAGGAACCATAGGCTTTGGACTTCAAAACTCGTAAGGTGGATCAGTCAGTTTTATGGGATTCAGTGATAATAGTCACAATATAGATCAAGACGATAGGAGAAGTACCACTAGTCATGTGTTTTAGTTAAACCAATCACCAATTACTTGGTGCTTACAAAAACAAGAGATGATTGCACTATCATCATGAGAACATGAATACAAGGCTTCAAGTGCACCAAGTTGTCAAGCATTATGGCTTCTTCATCTACATGAGGATATAACTGGAGTTCATAATCAAGAAGTAGTTCTGAAGATCGATAATAATTCTACAATTGCACAAGTCAAAAATCTAGTGTTTCATGGACGGAGCCAAAACATCAAATGACGTTTTGACTAAAATCGCGAAATAGTTAAAAAAAGGATATTTTGGTGGAACGCATTAATGGAAAGGAACAACGATCTATCATTCTGAAGAAAGATCTTGCAATGATAAAAATTCGTTGAAATGTGTAAGCTGTTGGGATTAGAGAATCTCTCAATTTTTAGCCGTAAATTAGGGGTGAATATCATTTAATTTACGGATTTTCCTTCCTTACATGATGTGGTGTAGGAGGTTGGTTCTTGCAAACCAAGGATACATGAGGATTAGCTTAGGATTCAAGTAAATAGTGGTTTCTTAGGCATTAAGCAATAAGGTTTTATATGGCAATTTGTATCAAGTAGGTTTCTAATTATTAGCTATATATATCATGGTTGTATAAATCAGTCTAGGCGGCCGATTAATCAGCGCCTTGTTGCTTGGCACCCTCCAACCTCCTACGAATAGGTGTTAGAGGGTTAGTCTAGGCAGCCTTGGTCGATATCGGTCAAAACCGGACTAACGCTGACCAAATCGATCCAGCTGACTCGAAAGGCCCCACCAACTCAAAGGAGTCGGCTTGCCTCAAACATAACTGCATTTGTTTTTGTATGGAGGATTCCCTTTTATAAAGTATATTTTCCTTGATAGAATGTTCCCAGATTCTATGTGGGATGCTTAAAATTTTACTCTTCCATATATGTCCTTTTCATTACCTTCTTCCCCAATTTTCTTAATGGTTTGACTCCTGCCCTGCTCGACTCTGACTCCTCTCCTTTGTTGTTAGTCTTCTACCACGATATCAAGGGAACGCCATCAAACTAAGCACCTTCAGATGGCAAGTAGCGAACCCAATCAACAATCAACGTGATGACACGATTGGTGGTGGAGGAGAATGATCGAAGAAGTTGTTCCTGATTAAATTATCGACACCCGTAAATCGCAAATGTTTCTTCTTCTATTGCTTTTCGATTATCCTTACATTGCTGCTCTATCGTCGTTTAGTTCTTCAATCGTGCTCAAGCATTATTCTTGCAGCATCATTTTTGTTCCATTGTTGCTCCATCGTTGACTCAACCATCGTGCTTCATCATCATGACCTACTACATCGTTCCTTTTCAGCGACGCCCTCCAGATTGCAATTTTGACTCAACCATCGACTTCGACATCCACCACATCAGGTAAGCAACAGTTTTTGTAATTTATTTTTCTGAAATCAGTTGGAGCTGATGTATGAACTCAGTTGACTAACAAATTATGTATGGAATTAGTTAGCAAATGAATTTTGTATGAAATCAGATTGTATCTAAATGAAATGAAATGTTTAATTGTTTTGTGTATGAAAGCATATCCCCACCAAGTGTTCAATCAATTGCATGAGTGAATCTTGATTAATACTTTAGCAATGTATATGTATTAGGTTTAACTGTTGTTTTTTGAATATATGCTAAACATAAGAATGGATTCGTTATAAATACAAACACTAATAGACAAACATGTAATATGAATTGATTGGTGAAATCATGCCTCATAAAAATGGATTGGTTTTGAACTCAGAATGAAAGTGTTAATGCTGATAAGGTGCAACGACCTATTGATAAGGTGATATCATGCCTCCCCAGAATGGATTACTCCTATTTTCATTTGTTAACTTGATACATTTGTATGAGTAAATTGTGGAAGAGTTCAAAGTAGAATTTTTGTTAGATGTATATTGGATAATTTGTTGTTAGAATTGTCTTGATCTTTGAAACTTACTTTTATATTGTTTTCTTTCTTTTGTTTCTACATAAAGAGGAATCATTTGTTTCAAGAATGTATATGGAAATGTGATGTATTAAGGATCAAAGGCATTTTTTGTAATCATATCCCCATTTTATGCATAGGCTTATTTGTATGTGATGTATTAAGGATCAAAGGGGTTTCTTGTAATCATATTTTGATGTTATGATGTTATATTTATTAGTTTTTTAGTAAATTTTTAATTGATATAATGTTACATTTATTAATTTTATATTTAATGTTATATTCTTACGATTAATATTATATTTATTAGTTTTTTAATATTTTTTTTAATAATTAATGGTCTCCAATTCAACCTTTATATATACATACATATGATCGAGCACGATCATACCAGACAAGAGAGTTACACAAAGTTGATTGTAGCAAAGTTTTGAGATGGTTTTTTTGCTATAACAAGTATAATTTCCGTTTCTTCGTGTTCTTATTTTTCGTGTTATACAAATTATATACAAATTGTTGTGTACGAAATCAACTTCTATTTTTTTTACCCTCTTTATGTACTAATTAAATGATGGCAAAATCACACAAAACATTCGAATAACTAATGTTTCCATAAGTTCACATAGCATTGTGTATTTGTGTGGCCTACTTCTATGTAATTAAATTAATAAAAGAAGCTAAGTACAATCTTTTTCTGCCAGCAGTGGTAAGTTTATGGTTCACATAACACACACCGGAATGAAGACAAGGATCCTCGGTCTAATTATACTCTTAGTAGAATATTATAACACATAAATGTCTAATTATACTCTTAGTAGAATATTTACCTTCGCGAGTATTCCGTGATCAAGTGCAATTAACATAAAGCCTTAAAGCCGAAAACAGATTCCTTATCCAACTTCCAATACTTCAAAAGAAAACATATTCATTGCTAAAGTTGTCACAACCTTGTCCACAAACCGGAAATATACTTTGTTCATCTTGTCTACACCTATCATTGTTTTCCTCACCTGTCCCTCTATGGCTGTATCCTACATATTATAACTTATTTCCCAGACTGATAAATCCTAATATATTTCTTTCTAATCTGAATTTTATATTTCTCTAATCCCAATGCCAATTCGGGTCCTTTACCTAGCCTAACCAGTTTCCAAAAACCACTCAAGTACCCGAAATGATCATTTGTGATGGATTACTTATCCATTTTCTACTTTTCTTGATTTTCAAACTGAAGTTATTAGATTCCCAACCCTAACCCCAGCCTGATTGCTGAATAACTGATATTTCTACTTTTCTTCGTCGAAACCCCATAAATGGATAACTTCAGATTGCGTTTCTTCTTTAGTTTACTCATACTAACGCACCTTGTTAGTGTCACCATTGCCGAAACTGATTTCTGGTATCAATATTGCTATGGAACATACACATCAAGCAGCTCATTTAAAAGAAACGTAGACGATGTACTATACTCCATAACCAAAACAAATAATGGATATGGTTTTTTCAATCAAACAGCCGGAGAAGGGATCGATAAGGTCAATGCAGTAGCTCTTTGTAGAGCAGATATTAATCAGAGTGATTGTGAACGTTGCGTAGATAATGCATCTCGTAAACTACAAGAGAATTGTGTATACCAAAAGGAAGCAATGGGCTGCTATGATTATTGTCAATTAGTCTATTCGAATTCCTCATTGCTTTACACTACTGTTATGGATAAAGACGACACCAAGTGTTTTAATAACCCAAGCTTCACTTCAAACTGGACGATATTAAAACCATCAATGGTGAATCTTTTTGATCAGTTACGAACAGAAGCTTCAAAGGGTGGTAGCATTAGAAAATACGCAGCCAGAAGCATGAGTGTAATTCCAGATTCTTCAACAATTAGCGGACTTGTGCAATGCACTCCTGATCTATCAGAGTCGCAATGCAACCAGTACTTAGTGGACGCCATAAATTTACTTCTGGACTGCTCATTTGGAAGAACGGGAAGTAGAGTTTACAAGAGGGGTTGCAACGCAAGGTATGAGTTATACCGTTTCTTTAATGAGACATGGTTTCCCACTCATCCACCATCTCTGCAATCACCACAATCAGGTTGATTTAATTTGTTCTTATATTACGACATATGTTGTAATGTTGGTTGACACTGACACTTTTTTAACTCAATAGGTTTGATTACAGAGACGAAGGGAACATACATTAAGGGAGAGTTCATAGGAATCGTATTCGCAGCTGGAGCATTGATTGCAATATCTGGTTTCTTTATATGGCATAGGCACCATTTAAAAGTCAAACATAAAGGTGTTTGTGGGTCAAAATCGGAAAAGATCTATTGCTTTACTCTAAATGTTGTCTGTTTATCATTAAATTTGGTTGTATTAATTGTTCGTATTGAAGCAGACCATAAAGACCATGAAAGCGATGTTCCATCAAGCATCTATGTGGATAAAAGCAAGTTTGATGGAGACAACGATGATCCGTTTGAAATGCATCATTTTCATCTAAGTACTATACAAGATGCCACGAATGGTTTCTCACTTGAAAATAAGCTAGGAGAAGGTGGTTTTGGCGCTGTCTACCTGGTATGACTTTCTCAGTTTGCTAACTTTTCATGTCTATATCTTTTGATAAAAAAAAAACTTTAAAAAAAACTTTGCTTTTGGATGATGAAATCGATGCATGGGAATTGAATGTAATCAATGTATATTTTGGTCTAGGGGAAGTTGGTCGATGGAAGGGAAATAGCTGTGAAACGGCTTTCCAAGAATTCAAGCCAAGGACTTGAAGAGTTCAAGACAGAAGTAAGATTGATCATAAAACTACAACACAAGAATCTGGTGAAGCTTTTAGGTTGCTGTATAAAAGGTGACGAAAGGCTTCTAGTCTATGAATACATGGTTAACACAAGCCTAGACTCATTCCTATTCGGTATGTGTGCTTTTTCTCTATGAGACTTTTTGGTGTTTGAATTCGTATATGAATCTAAGAGCATACACGGTAGGAGAGTTTTTTTTACAAAGATTTTTCATGTCACATTAGTGCCAACTCAATAAAACGAAAAGCTTAACCTATCTCAACTATATATCTAATGCTTTTGCATAAATTAAGCTTAATTATTGTCCAACAAAACGTATTTATTTGTGTTTTGTAAGATAAAATAAAATAATACTATTAAAATGATGAAAAAGCTCTAGTAGAGCTTGTAAATCAAACAAGCAATTTGAAAAAACTATAACTATAAGATGAAAAATTTTCAATACACTAGCTTATTTGACTTTACAATGCTTATTTAAAGAAAACTCTCCAATAAACTTTGAATATTGTGGATGTTATAATACATTTCAAATCCAAAAGTAATATGATATATGTCCAATGTTCAACTTTGCTTATATATATTTATTTTTTTCTAGTAGTTAATAAACCCATATCTATATTGAAGTTAATAAACCCATATCTATATTGAAGTTAATATTTGGTCTGTTTAACAACAGAAATCAAACTGAATCTCTGACTACTTGCTAGTTCCACGTTTTCAGATCCAACTAAGGCTAAGGAATTAAATTGGATTAAGCGTGAGAAGATAATATGTGGTGTAGCAAAAGGACTTAGGTATCTTCATGAGGACTCACGTTTAAAGATCATCCACAGAGACTTGAAAACGAGCAATATTCTTCTAGATGACGCCATGGATCCAAAGATATCAGATTTTGGCACTGCTAGAATTTTTGGGACAAATCAAATTGAAGCAAAGACTAACATAGTTGTTGGAACATAGTAAGTCATCTTTCACTTCTATAGAGTTTCAATTTCATTATATTCACTTTAAAACCAATGTTACCTCTTTTTTACAGTGGATACATGGCACCCGAATATGCAATGGAAGGATTATTCTCAACAAAGTCCGATGTTTATAGCTTTGGTGTGTTGCTCCTAGAAATCATTCATGGAAGCAGAAACAACGGATTCTACTTCCAAGAGCATGATGAAACTCTTCTCTCATATGTAAGTCCAATCCCAAAAATATCAAAACCATCAGAAATGACCCGTTTTTCTAGTAGTAAGAAAATCCATAAGATTATTATTTTTCGCTATAATATCTAGGAACAACTTCCGACAATTAAGAAGCAACACATTATACAAAACCTAACATGGTAGTTTTGTCAATTCAAAGGCATGGAGGACGTGGAAGGAGGGTAGAGGAGAGGATCTGATAGACAAAATCTTGATAAAAAATTGTTCGTTAAACAAGACTTTGAGATGGATACATATCGCGTTGCTATGTGTTCAAGAAGATCCTAAAGATCGGCCTAACATGTCGTCAGTTGTTTTCATGCTTGAGGGTCAATGGTCAACCCTCCCGGAACCATCAGAACCTCCGCTTTCTTTTACTAAAATTGTTACTTTTGATCAAGTTACAGTGACAGATACTAGAACTTTAAGAACTTCCCCGTCTTCACAACCTCTAGAAGCAGAGTTTTAGTACTCTTGATTATTTTTACAAATAAGTGTGAGTACTTTTCGATTTTATGCTACTGCTTTGGAGGAAATTATTAGGAAGTAAATTAAAGAATTTCTTTCAAATATGTAGACTTCGACTTTTAAATTAAAACTTATGATTTTAATTTTAACTCCACAATTGATGTATGAGCTTCCTCTTTGGGTTATAATTTTGTGACTAATAAAAGTAATAAAATAAATTAGTTACTTATTCTTTCATAACAACTAGATTATAACCCGTATTAAATGCGAAGAAAATAAATTAAATACACATCACATTAATAGATACTATTGTTTTAAGTGAAATTTTAATAAAAGATGTTATTTAGATTCATTTTGAGTTTTTGAACCAAACTTATTAAATAAAAATATTTGATACTTATATTAGAGCAATTAATTTTTAACATAAATGATCCACGTGATATTTGTTTTATCACAACATCATGCGATTCATTGATTAAAACATGTTGTGTAGTAGCTTTATGAATTGATTTTGTTCGGTATACAAACCCTCATGGAGGCACATATGACACTTTTCATATTGGTCATGTAAAACCAAAAACAACAATAAGTTGTTATATGTACCAGCAATGTTAAATTCCGTAAAGAAAATTTAATAAACATTACAATTAAAGTGCATTGCTATAGCCATAAACATGAAACTCAGACATTATAATTTGGTCAATTTCTAAAGTATCTTTTCCTTATAAAAATAAAATATGATTTTTCAGGCTATACCTAATCAGATATACATATCTTCCGATCAAATAAATTATTACAAAAAAAAAAAAAAAAAAAAAAAAAAAAAAAAAAAGCCTTGTTATGAACAAAAATATAATATTAGTTTCATAATTTGCCAAAGGTTAACACTAATAAATAATAAGGAACTTTCACAAATCTTGCATTTTGGTCACTGCATCAAACTAACATATGAATTTCAGTTTAAAGGATTGATTCAAGAAGTACATTCATGACTTCTTGTAGCTGAATTTGGCGTATTTCTTGTAGCTGAATTTGGGGAAATGCTAAGACTTATTAAGATATGTGAGAATGGTCTATGTGACTACAGTTGGTTTCTAGAGGGCAATACAAATTCAAAATGTTAGCACGTATCTTTCCTCTAGTAGATTGATTAATTTTTTTTTATGACATTTCAACAGAAATATAATAATAACAGGTAATAAGAACAAAGTAAATACATGAAATTAGGGAAGAAGAAGGAGACAGAGTAAAGAAAAAAAAAACCTTGAAAAAAGAAATGGAGAAGAAGACCATTGAAGAAGAGCATTATAAATCGTACGACTCAATCCAAAATCATAAGAATAAAAAATTCAATGTAATTCTCTCTCTCTCTCTCTCTCTCTCTCTCTCTCTCTCTATATATATATATATATATATATATATATATATATATATATATATATATATATATATATATATATATATATATATATATATATATATATGGAAAGGTTATTTGGAAAACAAAAAAAAAACCCTAAAAATGCATAAAAAAAATACCAAGACATCACAAGACTTTTTTTTTGAATTTTTTTATTAAAAAATCAGAGCATTTTTTACAATTTCGCTGAAAAAAAAATAAAAAATCAACTTTTTTTTTGTAAATTTTTTTTTTCAAAAAAAATTTTCAGCGATTTTAACCTAAAACTTGCGCTATTTTGATAAAAAAAAAATTGTGATCTCTAAGTATTTTTTTTATACATTTTAATGATTTTTAGGGTTTTTTATGGTTTTTTGTTTTCCATAAAACCTAAACCTATATATATATATATATATATATATATATATATATATATATATATATATATATATATATATATATACTATTTTTGAATAAGAAAATCATTATCTTCCAGAAAATTGGGATCCTAAGATATCAACTTGGAGATTTTTGGCTATTCATCTGGAAAAAAAAGATATCAGTTATATTGATTCAAAATTTCAAATTAATTAACTTGCATATTTAATGAGTTTTATAATTCAAACCGTTATCTCAAATTGATTCATTTTATGTAGGATATAATGGGAAATAAATTATGAATAATATTGACTTTAATATTGACTCACAAATATTTTGTTGATTTAATGGGATTAGATTAGCTTTTGTGGGTTAATAACTAAAATATTGATATGCTTATTTAATGAGTTTTAAAAAAAAAAAAAAAAAAAAAAAAAAAAAAAAAAAAAAAAAAAAAAAAAAAAAACGGGTTTGAATTTTGATGCCAATAGCTATAAATAAGGGAGTTAAATTAGAAACAATATTAATTATAAAATCTGATTTCTCGTATATTAATAGAATGATATGCTTCAATTGATAACATAATTGTTAAATTTAAAGATTTTATAATTAAATGTAATTGCGTTTGATTTTTATTTGGGGAAGATGATATTAACAATTTGATCTAAGGGTAGAAAATATATGATTGAAATACAATCAAGGGTCTTGATTACTTCATTAGTGAATTAAGGGTTCTCTTCTAATAATATTTAGATATGAATGAAACTAATATGCTTAAAGTAGATTGATTAATTTTTTTTCATGATCTCTCAACATGAATACAGTAATAACATGTAATAAGAAGAGAGAGTAAATGCAAGAAATTAGAGAATGAGAATGAGAACAAAGTAAAGAAAGAACCTAGAAAAAAGAATTAAAGAAGAAAATTGCTAAAGAAGAACATTGTAAATTGTAGGACTCAATTCAAAATTGTAAGAATAACGACTTCAATGAAATCGTATATATAGGGGATTTTTGAATAATCAAATCATTATCTTTTAAAAAAATAGGATCCTAAGATATCATTTTGGAGATTTCCGGCTATTAATCTAGAAAAAAAAAATCAATTATATTGTTTCAAATTTACAAATTAATTGACTTGCTTATTTTATGAGTTTTAAAATTCAAATTATTATCTCAAATCGATTCATTTTATGTGGGATATTCTATGAGATAAATTATGAATGATATTGACTTTAATTTTGACTCTCAAATATTTTACCGATTTAATTAGATTAGATTAGATTTTATAGGTTAACCAAATTAATAATTTGCTTATTTAAAGAGTTATTTAACAAAAACGTATTTAAATTTTGAAGCCAAAACTATAAATAAGGTAGTTAAATTAGAAACAATATTAATTATAGAAATTGATATTGTCTATATAAATAGAATAATATGTTTCAATTGATAACATAATTATTGAATTTAAATATTATATAATTAAATGTAATTATGTGTTTGAATTTTATTTGGGAAAAATGATGTCATCAATTTGATCTAATGGTGAAAAACATATCTCCCTACCTAATAAAAGAGTAGCACATTTGCCACGTATCAATCAATTAGAGTTTCACATTAATTATTTACCACTTGTCATTCTAAGGTTTTTCCTCATTAATTAAATTTCCACTAATTCACTCTTCCATTTTACACATATCAAACACGTCAACAAAAAATTTATTTGTAATATCTATTGCCTAATTTATTAAATTATTAATTTTTTTTATCATTGCTCAATAATTACCTTATAATTTAATTAAAAATTATTTTTACCTTTCTAATCCGTGGTGCCCACGGGTTATAAACTAGTGATTGAAATACAATCAAGAGCCATGGTTGCTTCATTGGTAAATTTAAGGTTCTCTTTAATAATATTTAGAGATTAATCTCTATCCTTAAAACGATTTCAACCTTACCGTTCATATGAATGTTCTGCTACGAGGTATAGGTGCATTGTCTTTCAAGATACAACGTTACTTATTTATGTTTCGTGTGTTTAATGGTCGCGGTTCAGTTTGCAAGTTGCAACAACAACAATAATCAAAAGAAAATCACGATCCCACAGATTACCACTCCCGACTTCATGTTCAATTGTTCAAGCACTACAACAAAAAAAGGGAATTAGCGGCGACAAAAGTCGCCGCTAAAGCCTAGAATAGTCGTCGGTAAAGCTAATAGCGGACACACGTCACTGGTAAAAAGTTGCAGCTACTATTCTGTAGCTATTGTTCAAAATATTGCCGGCAAAAATATTTTTCGCTGGTAATACCCATAGTCGCTGCTAATGTTCTTGTCATCGGTAATAACATTTTTCTTTTTTTAATTTTTTTTTTCAAATCATTAATTTTGGGTCCAAAAAAACAGATATATAATGACATTAAATATAGAAAAAAAAATTACCTAATAACATCCTATTAGATACAAATAGTTTTATAATTAATTTCATACCAAAATAAACAACCAAAGTTTTACAATTCTAAAAAGTAGCAAAGTGTTACCACAAGTCTAACACACAAAACAAAAATTAATTATTCAACGAATTATCATCTCCGTTCCCATCGTTTCCTCCTTGATCTTTCCGCGATTGAAAAAATGAATAAACCTTCTGCCTACATGTCGGGTTGTTGAGCATTGCCCGAAAATTTTCCAACTACATAATGTTGAAACAAAAAGTGACCATCTTCAGCTAAAGGGAACTGAAGACTTCTTGCTTTGATTATACTGTAAAGAATATCCTACCGGAGCTTACATTTGTCTTTTGTGACCCGCAGAGTTAAAGATGAAGTGCAGAGTTGAACTATGTATGAAGATTGTTTAAGTTATTTTTAGTGGCATTGCTTGTATTCTGTGTAATATTCGGTGTGCTATTTATGGTCACCGTAGTGAGCCACTTTATGTTATTTTACTCTTTAATGTAACTTTCGGGACTCTATACATAGAGTGTCCCATTTCATGTATTCTATACCAATTTACTAACTATTAATCGATCACTGAAAGTTTATCAATATCATATTGTTCATCTTTATCTTAAGTTGTCTTATCAAATACTTAAACCGAGTCCTTCTTCACTTGTGTTGTTCATCTTATACTAACTTGTGTTTGCATCCAAACCTTGTTACAATTCAACCTTATGTCTACATGTTTACTGCTTATTGATATAAACTGGCTTCCATCCTTGCAAC